CTCTGGTGCTGTTCATCAATTTTCCCAGAGCATTTACTTTTGATTAATGTCATATGTTTTATTTATTACAAGAATAAACTTTATAGCTATAATTGTGAACAGAATTGTGGTCATGGTGTCTGCTCGAGAGTGACAACATCCAAAGTCTTACAATGTGAAATAGCTGACCCCTTTCAATCAACAATTAATAAATTTCTGTGGACTGGGTCACATACTGGAAAATTACATATTACCCGGAGATACCCTCTACTTAGCATAGTTCATTTATTAGGCCTGCTGAATGCCAGAAGCCAGGGGTACTAAGGGGAATGACACAATCCTTGTTTTAAGGAAGTTGACAGTTCGGGAAGAGAGAGATCAATACAAATATGATATATTATTAAAGGCTTCCATAGAATTAGATCCTGGATTCAGTGGGAGACAGTAGTCAGTTCTACTTTAGTGGGGGATAGGAATCAGAGGAGAGCAGGAAAGGCCTGATAGGCCTCAAAGCTCAGCCTTAAAAGTATATTAGGTATCTGACTGTACAACAAGGATTAAGGGAGTTTCTGGGGAAGCAAAGACAGAAGTGATAAAATGCAGTATGTTCAGGCTATTGCAGTTCAAATAAACTGGAGCCTAGTGTAGGAAGTGAAGAATGCTAAGCGAATGAAGCATGGAGTTCCTCTTATTGCAGAATGAGCACTACACAGGATGTGATATTCTGAAGGAGAGATGGAAGGCAGAGCAAGAAGGAGAGGGGATAAAAGGTTTTAAGTAGGGCAGTGGCTTAAATTGGTTTTTATTTGATAAGATCGTCTCAGAGGAAGGTTTAATGTGAACTCAAGATTGATAGAGCTATTCTCAACAGTGATGTCATGACATACTGTGACATCCCTTAAAACTCATTTTAAAAAAGTATTTGTGTATCTTGCTGGGTTTAATTTTCTGATTTAAAAAAGAAAAACTTTTACTTTCATATTAATAGATGATTTAGTTAATGATTTTTGTACTTAGACTGCCCTTGTTCAATTTTAATAGCAAAATAAGACTACCTATAGATGACTTAGATTATTTTTATTCTTTTTCTAGAGTCTAGAATGGTTTTGTAACAGAAATTTCTATCTGTTCTTTAAAGGTTTGGTTAAAATTATCCAGAAAATCATCTAGGCTTGGACGCTTTAGTTTTGAGGGGAAGTTTTTGTCAACTGATTCAATTAGTATTTAAATGGTTACTGGATTACTTAGATCTATTTTTTTCATTGGTTCAACTTATAATTTATACATTTCTATAAAAGTGTCCAGTTGATGGTAAGCCTATTCATTTTCAAAGTTATCTGCATAAAGAAGCACAAGAATCTTTTGGAGGAGATGAAAATATTCTGTATCTTATTTGTGGTGGTGGGCTCACAGGTATATACATCTATCAGAACTTACCAAACTATATTGTATAGAGATACAGTTTATAGTAAATAAATTATACCTCATAAAGTTGGTTAACATTTATCTGCAGAAAATTATGCATAGAATTTTTTTGTGATTTAAAAAAATTTCCTTCTGTATCTTTAGATATGTTCTTTTTTGTCTTAATATTGTTTGTCTGGGCAATCGCTCTTTCTACTTCATGCATCTTGTTAAAGGTTTGTCCATTTCATTATCTTTGAACAACTGGCTCTCTGGAAAGAATCCTCAGCATCCTTGCTTTCTTGATCTTTCTGCTACAGTACCTTGCAGTATACCTTCCAAGCACCATATTGTGTGGGTAAATGAAAGCATATGAAAGGATAGGTGACTAAAGGAGGGTACACTTGGGGGCCGAGGCCAGAGTTGAAAGGATGAGATTCCTTCTTTCAAGGTACTTAGTACTGCCAGCTTGTCAGGCTCAGGAGCTATTGAAGGTAGTTTCCTCTGTGCAAATTGATGTGGCTGAAATATCATTTGGTGTCTTTGAAAACTCCCCTAAGAATATTTGAAGAGGGCTTAGCTAGCAATGTGGATACTCATCACCCCTTAGGAACTGGGTTCTGTCACTTTTGCATTCAAGGCCATAATATTAGCTCTTGGTGGATGACCTTCCCTTAACTATCAGACTAATGAAAATGGGCAGCAGAGTCTGAAAATAATATAGCATCAATTAACTACTAAATAGTAGATATATTTTACTGTCTTGGAATTCATGTGTTTGTTTTGCCAACTAAATATATTTGACTAGTTATAAATGCAATTTACATTTTTCCTTTTATTTGTTAAAAAAACTAGTCTTCTGGTTTTGAGGGAGCTAATTATACTTAATTGTTTAATGTAAAATCTTTATTACTTTTTATTTTTCTTCTAGTCATAAAATGCATTCAAGAAGAAAATGTCATATTATGTAAAATGTACTATTTCATAATGCAATGCTTATATCTGAATACTAAATATGAGCTGAGGAAGTAATATCCCTATTAAAAGAATATTTAGAGATGCCTCTAAGTTGTCTTGGGACTCATTCAAAATAAGCAGGTGCTGTGCAACAGATGTACCAAAAATGTTGAACATCATTCTCTATCCATATAAGATAATTATGTGTTTTTGAAAACTTGAAAGGAAAACTTATGCTTAGGAAGTCTTACTGAGCAGCCTAATGGGAAATCAATTGTGCTTTTACAGAATGGTGCTGGGCATCAGCAACAAAGTTATTTATCTTAAATTTGAATTAGACTTCCTGGAATTGGAAAAAAGTATGGAGGGTACAAATTTGAGTAAACCATCTTGCTTCCTGTGCTATTTCTTTCTTTCTCTTTCTTCCTTTCTTTCTTTCTTTCTTTCGTTCTTTCGTTCTTTCTTTCTTTCTTTCGTTCTTTCGTTCTTTCTTTCTTTCTTTCGTTCTTTCGTTCTTTCTTTCTTTCTTTCGTTCTTTCGTTCTTTCTTTCTTTCTTTCGTTCTTTCGTTCTTTCTTTCTTTCTTTCGTTCTTTCGTTCTTTCTTTCTTTCTTTCGTTCTTTCGTTCTTTCTTTCTTTCTTTCTTTTCTTTCTTCTTCCTTCCTTCCTTCCTTCCTTCCTTTCTGATTTAATAAAAGGTTTTAATTTACCTTTTTTTTTAAATTTGAGTAATTTAAATTTGAGTAAATTTAAATTTGAGTAAACCATCTTGCTTCCTGTGCTTGCTTGCTTGCTTGCTTGCTTGCTTGCTTAAAAAAAACTTTCTTTCTTTCTTTCTTTCTTTCTTTCTTTCTTTCTTTCTTTCTTTCTTTCTTTCTTTCCTTCTTTCTTTCTTTCTCTCTCTCTCTCTTTCTTTCTTTCTTTTCTTTTCTTTTCTTTCTTTTCTTTCTTCTTCCTTCCTTCCTTCCTTCTTTCTTTCTTTTTCTTTCTTTCTTTCTTTCTTTCTTTTCTTTCTTTTTGTACCTGAGATATCTTGTTTGTTTTGTTGATTCTTGGAAATAAATTGGAAACCCAAGACTAAAAGATACTGTATTGTGTAGTTTGCTAGGGCTACCAGCTGCCATAGCAAACCACCACAGAATACTTGAACAATGGACATTTATTTTCTCATAGTTTTGGAGGCTGGAAGTCTGAGATCAAAGAGTCTTCAGGCTTAATTTCTTCTGTGTCCTCTTTCCTTGGCTTATAGATGGCTGCTTTCTCCCCATGACTACACATGTTGTCAAGGTTTTCTAGAGAAACAGAACCAACAAGAAATCTCTATATATCTATATCTAATCTCTATCTATCTATCTATCTATCTATCTATCTATCTATCTATCTATCTATCATCTATCATGTATCTATGTATAATCTATCATCTCTCTTGGAGAGAAAGAGTTATTTTAAGGAATTGACTCATATGGTGTGGAGACTTTGAAAATCCAAAATCTAGTAGGCAAGCAGGCTGGAGATGCAAGAAAAAGTTTCAGTTCAAGTCCAAAGGCAGTAGGCTGGCAGAATTTCTTCTTGCTCAGAGATGGTCAGTCTTTGGTCTACTAAGGCCATTAGCTGATTGGATGAGGTCCACCCCCATCATGAGGGTAGCTTACTTTACTCAAAGTTTGCCAATTTAAATGTTACTCTCATCCAGAAAACATCTTCACAGAGATATCCAGAATATGTTTGACCAAATATCTGGGCACCATGGCCCAGTCATGATGACACATAAAATTATCCATCACAAATGGTCTTCCCTCTCTACCTATCTGTCCAAATTTCCTCTTCTTATAGAGATGCCAGTCTTTGGATTAAGGCCCACCCTAATGACCTCATTTTAACTTAAGAGTGTATCTCCAAATACAGTTACATTCTGAAGTCTTATGAGTTAGGACTTCAACACATGTATTTTAAGAGAACACAATTCAGCAGATAACAGCCGTTAATTTAAAAGTAACCATAAATAGAAAGACAATAAATGGAAAGGAGAAAACAGTCTTCCTAATACTGAAAATGTGTTATTTCCTCCATCTTTAGGATACTCTTCATATAAATCAGTTAACTGGAATGGAAAGTAACTTTTTTTTATATATTCACATTTCTGCAACTTAGAAATCAATTTTATTTTTCTTTGCCAAGGTTTCTTACATTACCACAATAATTAGACATTAGATTTTTTTAATTTCTTAATTTCTTATTCTAGTTATATCTGTATTTCTACCTATTTTCCTTTTGTGTTTTTAAATTTCAGATTAGAGCACATGTAAGATGTTTTTATATTAAATTATGAACTAATTTGAAGTTGCTATTAAAACAGAGCCACTTTCCTCTTTTTCTGGCAATATAAGAAATAAACAATGAGAAAATTACTGATAAAAATGAAGGGGAAAATTAACAAGAAAATATAAAATGAAGACAAATCAGAATACACACTTTCAATAGTTCTCTCAAGTCATAAATGTAATCTTACAACATTATCTCTTATGTTTTATATCGTTATGTTTGTATCACATATCAGTATCTTATGTCTGTCATATTTTTAAAATCCATTTAACTAAAGGGTAAAATGCTTCCCTATCTTTGATACTGAAGAAATGCTTCTGTTATCTCTCTTTTTTGCAGATAACAAAGAGGTTTTCCTTTCCAAAGCAATTCACAAGTCCTTCATAGAGGTTAATGAAGAAGGCTCCGAAGCTGCTGCCACCTCAGGTGCCAAGTTTTCTAAAATCTTCTACCTTTTCTAGATTTGTATTTTTGAAGCAATCTTGGGTAGGGGATCAGAGCCATTTTTAGAACCAAGCCAAAAAACTGACTCTGTTCTGGCTCTACTGTAACTTAGAAGTTTAGCCGATGCTGACCCCAGCTAGAATTTTCTAAGTAGGCTACGAAGCATTTCACTCCTCCCGTGCCCCGTGCAAAGTGACTCCCTCTCTCGTTTTCCCTCTAATGAGAGGCAGGAGGATATTGGCAGCTCTGTAGAATAGATTTTCCGGCTGTGCTACCTGTTTCAATATTTTAAATATTGCCCTGCTGCCCATTTAAACATTTTTCTCTTACTTAATTACTTGTGGAAGTTAGTTTTTAATTTTGTCAGAGAAAAGTTTTGATTTTTTAAAAGTACATATATAAACAAGAGTATATGACGGTGTGTAATAATAATACTAATAAAATTTTAATTTTAAATAAATAATTCAAAAAAATTGACATAAATCACATGTGTAAAGCAAAATGGCAAATGTCCCTAGTCATTTTGATCATTCTAACTACCCTAGTTAAGTGAGAATGATTTTTTTGTTGCCTTTTTTCCCTCCTTTTATTTGTTTGGATTTGTTTCAATCTCATCATCAAGAATTTTAGTCAAATTTCCACCCCCACATAAAATGTAACATGTCATATTTGCACGCATTATTTCTACCTTTGCATAAATTTGTCCATTAAAAGTATAGCACCAGTTAAAGTATTTTTAGGAGAAAATAGAAACACAGTAGTCTCAGGCATCAAGAAAGCTTAAAATCTTACATTATGTAATGGTGACCTTTTTCTGACAATTGAATCACCCTGCAGCAAGTATAAAACGATCGTCCATAATAAGGATCTCAAGGGAATTCAGTTTCCCAGCCATAGGAAACACATTGCATCTCTCACTGCTATTTTCCCTTTAATCACTGCCATTCTGGCCACTTACTAGAAGCCTGGTGATTTGCTATATAAATTCAGACAAGTAATGATTTAAGAATATAAAGAAATTCTTAGTTTTTCTTTGGGGGTGGGTGTTCTTTCTTTCTTAACTCAAAGGGCATTATAGTAAAGCCATGAGCATTTATCTGAGACCAAGGCTAAAACTTCTGTAACAGGCAGAATAAATTGTCCTATTATTTTTGGTGTGGTAGAGATAGGAAACCATGTATGGTGTCATGGTGTGTGTGTGTGTGTGTGTGTGTGTGTGCGCGTGTGCGTGTGTGTGTCTGTGTTTAAAGTCAAGTAGAAATGTCAGCACCTTTATAATTTTTCTTTCTTAAGTCTTTAAAATTGTGTTCTCTGTAAACTATTCCTTTTCATTAAACATAGATGATTTGCAGAAATTACTCATAAGTCCCTGGACATCTATAGACATGTAATTGCTTTTTCTCTGCACTGTAGGAATGATTGCAATTAGTAGGATGGCTGTGCTGTATCCTCAAGTTATTGTCGACCATCCATTTTTCTTTCTAATCAGGAATAGGAAAACAGGTAAGTCTGTTATGGGAACAGACTTTTTAATAGGTTAAAAAATAATTTTTAAAAATTGAGAACATTTTCCACATTATTTATCAGATAATTCCTAATGTTCAAATGATTTATTAAATGAAGTTAATTTATTAAATTTTCATTTTTTAGAACATTGCTAATTATAAGCAAGAAGAGAAATAAATATCTCTTTTTGTTGTTTATCCCCTCTTTTGTTCACATCCAACCCAAAACAGGTACAATCCTATTCATGGGACGAGTCATGCATCCTGAAACAATGAACATAAGTGGACATGATTTTGAGGAACTTTAATCATTTCATTTGAATAACAATGGAAATAGTAAATACGCACATTATGTTTGCAACTGGTACATATTTAAGATTTGTGTTTTACAGTATATCTTGAGATAATATTTAAAATAGCTCCAGATAAAAACAGTGTATGTAAACTGTAGCCAATTTGTTAAGAAATGTCATCAGTATTATTGAGGTGATGGTCTTGTCATGTCATTGTGTTTGTTGTGCTGGTATTTAAAATAAAAGTACATATCGAACATGCGAACAGCTCTGTTTTTCATTTTGGAAGCTGTGATATAAAGATACCTCTAGGTGAAATTTGGAAACAGTTATGTTTCTGGACATCTTAAGTCTTTCATAATCATGTAGAATCAAAGCACCAAAGAAAATTAACATCATACACTTATATATAAAAAGCAGTAACAAGTGAGATGAAGACTGGTACTCTACAAAAATTCTAATTGTTTTTTCTCTAAAGACAGTGTAAAAGAATGCAAACTGAACATCTTCTGTATGGCTCATGGCAAAATGCATTAGATTATAGATATAGTTTATTTACCATGTCTTTTAAAATCCACTTGATTTCACAATCCTGATGTAGATTACAGCCTGGTATATCACCATGTTTTGCTGATGCAAGTAAAATCTAAACTAGAACCAAGTTTTCAAAAGCCCCCAAATAAGCCATATTAGCACATTAATAATAAAAAATGCCCTTTGGTGTGTCACCAGAGAATTAACTAGAAAAAAAATGCTAGGATTTTAGGTCAAGATGATAGAATAGGAAGATGCTGTACTCGCCTCCTCTCATGGCAACATCAAAATTACAGCTAAACTACAGAACAACCATCATTGGTAATTGCTTAAATTCTAGCTGAACAGAAGTCTTACAACTAAGGACATACAGAGGAAGCCACCTGAAGACTGGTAGGAGGGGTGGAGACTAGAACTGGGCTGGTCCTACATCTGCATATGGCAGTTAAAAATTGGGAGGGATGTCTCCACTATGGAGGTCCCTCGAAAGGAATTAGGAGCCCCAACCCTACACCACACTCCCCAGCCCTGGGTTCTAGTGCCAAGAAGAGAATATCCCATAACTTCTGGCAGAGATTGTGGCTGAGTGAGATGGAGGGCTACGGGGGTCCCAGGAGTTTCTCTTAAAAAGTACATACATGGACTTACTTGCTGATTAACTCACTCCCTCTGAATTCCAGCGCTGGGGCAGCAGCTTGAAGGGTGCCAAGGACATATGGGGAGGAACTGCCTTATGTGGCTTCAGGGCGAGGGCTGGAAGGGCAACTTTTTCCCAGATGGAAGTGCTGGCAGAATCTGTTGTATCTTAGTTGAGCCCTCCCTGCTCCCAGCCTGCAGATGCAGGCAGGCACCATATCTGAGCCCTGGTGATTCCCTGATACCCCCACCCCACCCAAATTGCAGCCCACCCAAGCCACTTCCAGTGGTTTTTCCACACAAATGGCCTGTCTTGGCTCATGCTGCAAACTTCCTAAAATCTCTCAAAGGTTCACAAAACCCAAACAAGCAGCATTTGGCCTCATTGTACCCTGTACATCTTTCTGAGCAGCCCCAAACCCAACACTAGCAGCAGCCGGCCTTAGTTTATTGCTTCGCCTCCTGAGACACCTCCAAGCCCAGTGTGGGTGGTGGCCATCTGTAGATTGCCTGGTAGCTCATGACAGGTGGCCCCAGACAAGACACAGTCTGAAGCTGAAGTTTGCTTGCAAAGGGGCCCTTCCCAGGAGGCCCCAGAGCCGGCACACCTGATGGCTGGCTTCAGATTTCAAAACAAAAGCTATAAGATGAAATAAAGGACCCAGTAATTCCACTTCTGGTTATTTATTGGAAGAAACCCAAAACATGATTTTAAAGGAACATATAAATTCACATATTCATTGTGGCATTATTTACAGTAACCAAGATATGGAGGCAACTTGAGTTATCCATCAATATTTGAAAGGATAAAAAAGAGGTGGTACATATATACAATGGGATATTATTCAGCCACAAAAAAAGAATGAAATCTTGCCAGCTGTAACAACATGGATGGACCTAGACAGTATTGTGCTGAGTGGAGTAAGTCAGACAGAGAAAGACAAATGCCATATGTATTACTTACATGTGGAATCTAAAGAACAAAATAAACAAACAAAACAAAAATTAATAGATACAGAAGACATTGTGATGGTTGCCAGATGGGAGGGGTGTTTGGAGGACAGGTGAAAGAGGGGAAAAGATTAAGAAGTACAAATTGGTAATTATGAGATAGTCATGAGGATGTAAAGTATAGCATAAAAAATATAGTCAATAATATTCTAATAAATATATATGGTGCCAGAGAGGTACTAGATTTATCTGGGTGTTTACTTCATAAGTTATGAATCTTTAATCACTGTGTTATACACCTGAAACTATTGTAATATTATGTGCCAACTGTAATTTAAAATTTTTTAGAAAAAGAAAAACTGTGTTGATACAGATACCAGAAACTGGCAGGTTACAGGCTGAATGTTGTCCACAGAGATGTTCTTGTTTGTTCTGTGTGGGAAGTTTTTACCTTTTGAACTTGAATGTCTGTAATTGGGGTATTATGTTTTTATTTCTCTCATTGGTTACCTGATGACTCCTGGATGCATTTGTGTTTGAGATCTCTGGTGAGTTGTAATAAGTACTTTGCAGGCTTTATTGGTCTTATTTTCTAGAACAAGAAGTAGTTGATTCCAGTGGGGTCAGTGTCAACTTCTTAAGGTCTCTAGTAAATTAGTTTGTTACCCTTTGGCTGAAATAATGGTATTCCTTTGAGGGGTGGGGAATAAAAAGAAAGAATGCTCTCATTGTGTTCCGTGAATAGAACTAGGCACATTTAATACTAAATTTTTGGTTCTGTGAATAATGGTTTCAGAAAAAGTTTGAAACATTTCAAAATTTAACAGAAACAGTTTGCATGTAACTTTCTTGTGTATTAGGTATTTTGCTGTGATTTGGAGTTGTTAACAAGGATTGATATTATCATTAACTTTGACTCTGTTAAAGAGAGTTGTGGTTTGGGGAAACCAGGCCTGACCCCAGACCTCCTGAATTTTAAAGTCTGAGGAAAAACTTGAAAATCTGTTTTTTAACAAATTCCTTTGGCAATTTTGTTAGACACTAAATCTTGAATAATGCCAAAATAAAGGATACATGTAGAATATTTACTTATATACTAGTTGTTTAGACATAATTTATAGAAAATTAGGTCATCAAAGAAGTATCCCAAATTAGTGCTTCTCAAGTTTACATGTATTGGAATTACCTGGGGATTGTAATGAAGACTATCATTTAGTAGGTCTGGGGTAGGACCTGAGAACCCGCATTTCTAACAAGCTCCCAGGTAATACCATCACTGTTGGTCCATGGACTCAGTTTTGTAGCAAAACTACACTTAACATAAAGTTACATGTTTGATGTTTTTATACACAGAAGCAGAAAATCTGTGTAATTTTCATACAACTTGGAAAGATTTGAAGAACTGGAGTAGTAGTCTACATTAAAAATGGAGTGTACTTATATAAACAGAGAAAAAAATGATTTTACTCTAAAGCTTTCCTCCTATTATATACTGTAGAAAAATACAGACTTCCTTGGCATATTAGAACACTTGAAATATATTCTTAAAAAATATAGAGGCATTTATAGGCAAGGCCCACAAAAGAATTTATGAATACCCAAGGATATGATACTTAATACTGAATCTTTTACAGCTTATAGTCTCAGAAAGCTTACAGTTTATTCATAAAGCTGAGGTTATTATAGAACAGTGCTCTTGTTTTCATTTGTAATTTATACAGACTGGGTAACTGATAATTGATTCAGTATTGTTATTCTGAGTTTATGATATTCTTCATCACCGGATCACTATTTATTAAGCATTACCTATTTGCGGTATCTATATGTCTATTTGTCAACTAAATCAATAACCTATGAGGAAGAATAAACATTATTAGACAAGCGTGTGGGTTTTATAAAACCCAAAATACATTTTTTTAGCTAGTGTAACATTGAACTCTACCATTCAAAATGCTTACCTTAAAATAATTTAATACAATTTAGATGTCCCTTAAATAAGTCCTTGTTATTAGCATGTTTATGGAGTACTTAAAAACGGAATACTTGATTGCACCAAATTTTACCTATTGCTTGTTTATATATGTATATAGAGATATATAGAGATATATTACATAGGAATATAGATATTTTCTTTATCCATTCATACATTGATAGGCACTTAGGTTGTTTCCATATCTTGGCTATTATGAATAATCTCACAATAAACATGGCAGTACAGATATCTGTTTGAGATACTGATTTCACTTCCTATATATTTTAGATCTTACTCTCTTATCATATATGTGGTTTGCCAATATCTTCTCCTACTCTGTAGGTTGTCTTTTCATTTTGTTGACGGTTTCCTTTGCTGTGCAGGAGCTATTTAATTTGATGTTGTCCCACTTGTTATTTTTCCTTTTGTTCCCTGTGCATTGATGTCATATCCAAAATTATTGCCAGGACCAATATCAAAGAACTATTTCTCATGTTTTCTTCTAGAAATGCAAACATAGAGAAAACGATACTTAGTCCAGATGCTTTGTTTCATATCAACCAATGAAGTTATTCTTGAGGGAATTTTGAAGACTCTACATGCACATAAACATAGCTTATGGAAAAATTCTGTGTCTTATGAAGACAGCTATTTTCACAGAAGAATAGGTTTAATTTTTTTTTTTATTAACTACTTTGGTTCAAAATAAACGAAACATGTACTTTCCTTTGTCCAAATTTACTCTTTATTATATATTAAGTATAGATGAACTTTTCCTCTCTTTGAAAATTGCAGTTTTTGTTTATTTGGAATAATTAAGTGGTTATTTGTGAGATAGGGCACGTTCCAGAAAGTGTTACTTTTGCAGTTATTACAGCTTCTAGCTGATATAGCAGTTTTTTCTCTTCCTCAAATAGACAATATTTCATCTCGCTCCTTTTCCGAAAGTTTTATGATAATTCACAAATATATAAATCTGACATTTGTTCACACAATTGCTCTTTGCTCTGTCTATTATTCAAGAAAAATTGCTGATGGAGAGATTACCTTTTTCCACATGATTGAATGACCCCCTTCTTTTGGTGTTTTCTGTTGAAATATTTATAACCGCATACCTACGGGGAAAAAATGGGCTGTGGAATGACAGAGAACCAAGTTTAAACACCAGATCT